TTTTTTTTTTCAGACCCTTAACAACTTTTGTTGATTCAATCATTTAATTTCAGGTATCAATGTTATGGCAGAAGTTGATGTTCCTGGGCATGCACAGTCTTGGTATACCTTATGAGATCAAGAAACTTTCTTATATTCATGTTCTGGAATTATTTTTTTCTTTTATTCCATCCTGTCAATAAATCTCTGTGAGAATTTGATAGGTTTGTTCTGGAATCATAAGGCTTCTTTCGACCATCTCCATTCTTTTACTCTACTCTAGTACAGAGTTTACTCTACTCTCGAGTAGAGACTGCCGAAATTTAACTTCGCCTCCAGTTGTTCGCGTTACATTTTACTCTACATGAAATATATTAGTACAAAATAAAATTTAAATACATCTATAAAATCCTAATGTTAAATTATATATAAATATTATTTTGATAAAATTTATTAAAATAATATTTAGAGATAAAAATCAATTAAAAAAACTAAAATGTGAAGAAAAAAAAGTTGTAGTGCGGTGAATAGTACCGCGCTACATGTAGCGCAATACTGTTCATATCTCGAGTAGTGTGAAAATGTAGCGCAGCATTGGAACAAATTTTTCGCACTACCCTAAAGTAGAGTAGAAATGTTGCATAGGGCTGGAGAAACTCTTATGTGCATTTGAGAAGGATATTTTAAGTTCCAATTGCATGACCACCTTTTTACATGCATCCTTAAGGCAGGCTTCTTTATGTGCAGGGGAGAAGGATATCCTGAACTTTGGCCATCCCCTTCCTGCCAAGAACCTCTGGACGTCTCTAAAAACTTTACGTTTGATCTAATCACTGGCATACTTTCAGGTCACTGTATATCCTTTTTAACAACCTAAACTATGTTACAGTTTACCCATGTATCTTTCCTGAACTTTGTGATGCTTATATATTTGTTACCTGCATATTTTTCCTGCAGCTATTTCTGATTATTAGTATTTTAAGCTTGTTGCTGCTTATATTATTTGCTGATGCTGGTGATTCACGATATAATTAAGTTTAACATAGTTTAATAACCTAAACTATGTTACAGTTTACCCATGTATCTTTCCTGAACTTTGTGATGCTTATATATTTGTTACCTGCATATTTTTCCTGCAGCTATTTCTGATTATTAGTATTTTAAGCTTGTTGCTGCTTATATTATTTGCTGATGCTGGTGATTCACGATATAATTAAGTTTAATAGCCTTCTTTGCTTAGAAATCCCTTGCCTACTCTTTGTGACTGAATAATAGTTGTTTTGCAGACTTGAGAAAAGTTTTTCCATTTGAGCTTTTCCATTTAGGTGGAGATGAGGTTCATACAGGTAAATATTAATATCTCCTTCCGTTCAGATGTTACTCATTGACCGATGTTTTTATCTTATTTAAAACTTTAAGGCTGATGAAGGCCAATGTGGACCAATAACATGGCTCTTTGCTTTAATTTAAGTCAAAAACTTTGAATTAGAGACTGCTCAATTTATAACAGATGATAACAAATCTCTTTCATTTTATGCTGCACATGTCATGCTTTGTGATAGTGGCCTAATTTTATTCAGAAACTTGTGACCCCTGCCAAAGTATATGTTATAAATTGTTTAGGACATACATTAGCCATCTTATAGTGGAGCAGAGAGGAAATGTGAACTATTGATTTTTGTATGTTCATTTACTTCAAGCATAGTTTATGAATTGATTATGTTTTTGTAGAATATTATAAGGCCTCTAGGTGTACGTAACTGTATTTGTTTGACCAGAACCCCAATTATACTCTGTATGTTATTGGCCTTTTAATCTATCTAAATTCTGGAGTGTATTTGCGGTCTGTGTTATACAATATGAAAAGCAGGTTTTTGGAGGATTAAAAATTAGCCTGTTCAAGATGTTCATGGACAGAATAGTATAAGTCTAGTGTGGGGTTAAAGGTTAATTGAAGGAATTTGGGCACTTAGTTGCATATTGATTTTGAATTTAGCATTTTGATACATGTATCTTATTTTCTTTAGGTCTGTATTACTTTTAAAAAATATATGGAACTGAAATATAAATGCCTCTGAAATCTGAATTTTGTAGTTCATAGTTGTCTCTTTATTGCTGCGGCCTAATGATTTACCTCTCATTCTGCCTGTTTCATATTATACTCAGATTGTTGGAACTCAACTCCTCATGTAAAGCAATGGTAAATTCCTTATCCTTTTTTGTGTACAAACTTTCTTTGATGTGTTACTATATGCATTGAAAATACCAGTATAAGCGTAATGAAGATTATATCGTTTGCCTTGCATTTTGGATATACCGACAGAATATCAGACTTGTTGCTCTCATGATACTGACTTGAGAATGTCGAAGGTTGTATTGACACTTACTTTTATATGGAACTGTGAAGCTGAATTTTTTAGTTTTGTTGGAACCATAGTTTTTAAACATGGACCAGGAATCGACGTGGACACCCTGTCACCGGTTCAACCGCCGGGTCGCCGCTTCAATCGTTGTATCACCGGGTCAATTGGAATTTAATTTTGAAAAGTTTAAAATTATTTATATAGTATTTTTATCATATAACTATATAAATGTAACAAAAATAAATGTTTTGCATATAAATTTTGTACATCAGAGTGTTATTAATATTGTATTTCATAATAAATATTTACCATATAAATATATATACATAGTTTTTATCTTTAAAATAAAAAAATATTTTACAAAAAAAATAAAAAATTATATTGACCGGGTTGGGTCGATGCCCGGGTCAAGGCTGTGTTTACTGGGTTTTGACCGGGCCGATTGTCACCCGGTCCAAACCACCCACCCAGACAGGTTCCGGATTTGGGTAGACTGGGTCTTGTGTCGACCCACCGGGCCGGTTGTCACCCGGTCTAAACCACCCACCCAGACCGGTTCCGGATCTGGGTAGACCGGGTCCCGGGTCGACCCACCGGGCCAGTCCGGTTTGAAAATCAATGGTTGGAACTTGATTACATTTGGCACAATCTCTTTAAAGTATGACTTCCTTTTCTAATGCTCACCTCCATACATCAACCATATCTGGACTACAAAGAACAAATCAGTTTGGTGGTTTTGGATTTGAAATGGTTGCTGCAGTTTTCTTCGAAATGCCTGCTATAGTATATTTCTCATCATTCCAAGATTGTCATATATTCGTCTTGGTGGTACTTGTTAGTTAATTAACTGGATCTGAAGTCTTTGATGGTTTAGTAACTAGTGGAAATGAATCTTGAAACTTGCAGTCTTGTTTGACTTCAGTTTTTTCACATGTGGTCTTAGTATAGTTACTTTAGAGGAGCATGCTATTATTTTACAAGGTAGAGTATCAAGCATGTTCTTTTACAAATTAGTGTAATTATTACCATCCTTCTTATGGACAAAATTGGTATGCAGGCTTGAAGATCGCAATATGACGGCTAAGGATGCATATCAGTATTTCGTACTCAGAGCTCAGGATATAGCAGTATCATTAAATTGGACTCCTGTTAACTGGTGAGAGAATTGCTTATCCAAGCCATAATTTAGGCAAATGAAGTCCTTGCTAACTGTCCCTCCAATGGTTTTTTTTCTCATTTTAAGTCATAAATTTGTCTTTTTTTAGTTTCAAAATTTAAGTTAATGAGGAATCTGCTTGTTGACTTCCAAGTGAGTGTAAGATTATTCCTTTATTTTCCAGGGAAGAAACTTTCAACACTTTCGCGTCAAGTCTCAACAGTAAAACTGTTGTGCACAACTGGTGAGTCTAGTTAAATGTGGACAATATCAAATTGTGTCCAATATGACAATTCTGATAAGTAAAACCTCACATGATTAAAATAGGTTGGAATCTGGTGTTTGCCCAAGGGCTGTAGCCAAAGGTTTCAGATGCATTTTCAGCAACCAAGGCGTATGGTATCTTGACCACTTAGATGTGCCATGGGATAAAGTGTATTATGCTGAGCCGTTAGAAGGGATAACTGGTGCTTTAAAGCAAAAACTTGTTCTTGGAGGAGAGGTTTGCATGTGGGGTGAAACAGCTGATGCCTCAAATGTCCAGCAAACAATATGGCCTCGAGCAGCAGCAGCTGCAGGTATGTTTTAGTACTTTCTATTGATAGTTGGCTTTCAAGACCTTACCGCAGTTTCTCTTATATGAGGAACTTGAAAGCCTTGTATTCTATTCTTCTTTTTTATATATATTTTTCCGTAGTTTTGATTTCTTCCCTAGCTGCATCCTCATGGAAACATTTTCGACAGCCTCAACTGTATTTCATGCCATTTGAAAATTGTTCAGGAAAATAGTGTGTCGAGTCAGAAAACAGAGTAACACTTAGGGATAACATTGATAATATTTTCATGTATAAGTAAGGATTAGAACCGAAAATTGAACAGGGTAGAATCAGATATCTGATGCCAGAAAAGGTGGTATGGTGAGGCTGTTTGAGTGCCGTAGTCAATCCATTTGAGTTAAAGATGAAGGACAATGTTCTTTTAACTGGAAACTGATGAAAAGAAAATAACTAGATCCCTAAACTTAGGCTTCATGATCTGTGACATGTAGGCCTTTAACTTTTCATTTTTATAGGAGAGAAGATATAAAATGAAGTAGAGCCTGCTCCCGTGTGTAGCTCCAGCTTGAATCCTTGGGAATGTTGGCTAGATTTTACAAACTACGATTATTCACTAATTTGTTGATTGTACTTGTTGAATGTAATAACTAATAAATTCCTGTCCTCTTCACTGGACCTTGTGTGGGGCTGTTTGATTTCCGCTAGCTCATGCGTGATGTCTTGTTTTGCAAATTTCCTAGTGTCATTTGACGTTCATGCTTCTCTTTAGCCTTTTATTGTCTGTTGGCTAAATTGCAAATTTGGTCCTGTTAGATTAGATTATGAAGGTAGCAATTTAAGTCCCACTAGAGTGACATGTAGCTTTTTAAGTCCTGTAATTTAAAAATTTGCTGCAATTTTAGTCCTTAGCAAATTAAGTTCTGCAATTTAAAATTTTTAAAATTCTCAACATTGACAGTATTTTAGACTGAAATTGCAACAAAATATTAAATTGCAGGATTTAAATTGCTAATCAAAATTCATTCCAAATATATAATTGAGGATTTTGACATCAGAAAGACTGAAATTGCAGCAAAATTTTAAATAACAGGACTTAAAATGCTATATGTCACTCTAAAGGACCTAAATTGTTACCTCCCTAATAGGACCAATATTGCAATTTAGCTTTTATTGTCCTTAAGTTATGTCGACCTATAGATGATGATCTTGGATAGGTCCATGCATTTTCAAGTACTATGTGGTTGATACACCTTTAGTACAATTTTGTTGGATATGAAATTACATGTAAGAATAACAGTGGTTACCCCATTTTCTGTATTATTATTGTTATTTGGATCCTTGTAGAGCGATTATGGAGCGACGAGGAGTCATTATCTTCACAAAACTCGAGTGTTTTGGCACGACTGGAGCACTTCCGGTGTCTGCTGACTAGACGTGGTGTACCTGCAGCCCCTGTCACAAATTTTTATGCTCGAAGTTCACCGAAGGGTCCAGGATCCTGCTATAGCCAGTGAACACCAGTTGCTAATGCTAAAACATTTGCGGGTCTGGTACCTGCTGTTGTGTGTTGTTTATTAGTTCCTGAAAAATAATTCAAATCACGTCATGTGCTTTCTTATTTTTTGTATGTTGTACATCACCGCTGCCTGGTGTTGAAAGCGATGTGGATGAATTATAATTTGAATAAATAAAAAAAAAATTATAAATCATGTTTGGAAATATAATATTAGTAGTGGATGAATTATATTTATTATTACCATTATCGTCATAAATAATAACCATCAAATAATTGGATCCTTGACTCTAGAAACAACATAAAATTGATTATGACTGGAAAATATTATGTTGTATCTTTTTATATAAAATTCAAATTTATTTAGGTAAAAAAAAAAAAAAACATTAGTGATATCCAACGAAAATTTGTTTTTATTTATCTCTAAATGACATTCATTGAAACTTTTTCTTAAAATTGTCTCGATAATATTATAATTTTTATTATTTCTAAGTAACTAAATATATTACTATTATTATGTAGGTAAATTGATTATATAATAATTAGAATAAATATGTACAAATATGAACATATTAAAATTAAAAATATAAATGATACAACGAAAAACTACTAAAATGACTGAATTTCGAACCACATGAATTTAGTTTCAAATTTGGTCGAACTATTTTTCACTTTTTAATTGGCAAAATAAATTTCAATTTCATTATGCGTAAAATAAGTCCGATGGTGATCTCAATAACGTGCAAGATGGATCGTCTTTTGTAAAGTTACAAACTAGGCACAATAATAGTTAATGTTCATGTCAGTAACAAATTACTTACTTTTTGCAAGAAAATTCATATATTTTAATATAATTTCTACAAATGGACTGATAGAAATTTTATAAAAAAAAAAAAACATTTAAGTGTATTATATAAATTATAAAAGGGAAATTTATTTTGAGAAAATTAACATTTATGATACATGATAAGGAAAAAATAGATGCATTATAGTAAGGCGTATTGAACCTTATCTGTTGCAATGGTACCGTAGCGATAATATATTCTTGTCATTCTCTTAAGCAAAAAAAAGCATATATTACAAATAACATAAATTTAAAAATTGTTCTAAATCTAGCACCTAACCAGCATCTCCACAGCAAGAATCATGCTCTCTAGGTCAAATCTCCCACAGTTTTTTTCCTAAAAAAGTACCCACCCCTCATAACCCTACTCATAAATAAATTGGGTCTAATCACTACCCTCGACAATTGTTTCACAATGAGTGCCTCATTAAAAGCTCTTAAATCTCTGAACCCCAGCCCACCCTCCCCTTTTGGTTTAGAAATCTTATCCCATCTAGCCGAGTGCATTTTGGTTTCCCTTCCCCACCGTCTTTTTTGCCCCACCAAAAATCAACTCTGTCTCTGCAAATATCATCACAAATAGAATAGAGCAATCTAAAGCATGACATTAAAAGGTAGGTAAAGCCCCAATCACAGAATTTACCAGAACCTTCTCTCTCTGCTTCACTCAAATAAATGTTTATCCAGTTTGTTATTTTTCTTTTGACATCTTCCCTAACAAATTGGAAAGTTTCTCTCTTCGTCTTGCCAATTCCTAAGGGGAGACCCAGATACTTAGAGGTTTGGACCTGGTTAATACCTTGCAAAATCCTAAATATATCATCTTTCACTGACTGGGAAGAGTTCTTACAGAATAAAATGGTTGTTCCAATTCACTAATTGACCAGAAGCAACCCCATACTTATGAAGAATGTTAATCATAAGATGAGCATGATTGGAATCAGCTTTATAGAGAAGCAATGAGTCACCAGGAAAGAAAATATGAGAAATGACAGGGTTTTTTTTTTGCTAATTTTTATCCCTTGGTACATCTGTTGAGTCCTATCTTGACCAATGAGATTGGAAAGAGCTTCTGTAACAATGATGAAGAGATATGGGGACAGTGGGTCCTCTTGTCTCAGCCCCCTGCTGGGTTTGACAAAACTAGAATAAGCCTCGTTGATATTAAAACTGAAAGAAGTAGACCCTACACAAGCCAACACCCAACTCACAAACCTATTACAAACCCCTATCTCCACAGAAACACTAGCAAAAAAAAATCTCACTCCAGCCTATCATAGGCTTTGGCCATGTCCAATTTCACAGACATGAACATGTCCTTACCTTTCCTCCTACCATCAATAAAATGTATGCACTCATTTGCAATGATTGCATTGTCCAGTATTTGCCTACCTGGAACAAAAGCAGACTAAGCTGCTAAGATGATAGAATGCAATAGAAGCTTAAGCCTATTGGCTAGGACTTTAGCAATCAACTTATAAATAACATTGCACAAACTGATTGGCCTAAGGTCACTAACTAGATGAGGATATTTTTTCTTAGGGATCAGAGTAATAATAGCATGGTTAATCCTAACACGAATTTTACCAGACTGAAAAAAGCTATGAACAATATCACACAAGTGGTTTTTAAGAATACCCCAAGAGCTTTGAAAAAAGCCAGCAGTAAACCCATCCTCCCCATGGGCCTTATCTTTGTTCATCTTCCAAAGGGCCTCCCATTTTTCCCCTGAAACACTCTTGGTTAACCTGGCATCCATTTAAGAGGTAATAAAAATAGGAATACCCTCGAGGTTGCAACTATCTAACCTAGGTTCAGAGGTTGTAAAAAGACTACCAAAATGATTTTCTAACACTGCAATAGTATCCCATTCATTCAGACACCTAGACCCATCATCATTACACAAATTATCAAGACAATTCAATCTTCTTTTCTACTTCATAGAGGCCTGAAAGAACTTGGTGTTCTTATCATCCTCTTTCAGCCAGAAGTGTCTACCTTTCTATTTCCAAAAAGCTTTCTCCTCCTTGTAGGCTAAATGCATCTTAGCTCTACAGTTCCTCCAACAATCACAGTCTTTATCAGCTCCTTGGGACTCAATCTCACTAAGCTTAAATTTAAGGCTATCAATTTCTTTAGCAGAGTTATTAGGGAAAGAAGACTTCCACGGAAGAAGTGTTTGTCTAACATTCCTAACTCTGTTTTGGACATTGAAGAGTTTATTCATAGGCTCATTCCAGGCCTTAGATACTACCTCACTAAACCCATTTTGTTTCACACACCTACCATCAAACTAAAACCTCTTATGTTTCTTGCTCACAATACCATCACTTCAAGGATAAGCATGCAATTGTCAGAGGATAAGAGGGGTGTGTGTCTAACCACAGCATTAGGGAACACACCCAACCACTCCGGAGAGAGAAAAATCTGTCCAATTTTTCTTCAATGAAATGCTAACCCTTTCTATTATTAGCCCAAGTGTAGGGATATCCTACCACTTTACTCTCAACCACGCCTAACCCCATAGCCAGAGCCCTAAACTTATGGAATATGCTTTCTGGTCTCTAAATTCCCCCTTTCTTTTCCTCTTTGGAAGGATATCACTAAAGTCCATACCCAAAAAACCATAATTTTCCCTACAACAAGCTATATCTGAGAAGAAAGCTCCACTGGGCAGATCTATCAGAGGGGTTGCTGCTAGCATAAACAAGCACCCCCATTGAAAGACCCCACTGTTTTTTAATTGAAACTTAAGTTCAATAGAAAATTCAGAGCTGATCAAAGACTCTACACTGATATTATCATAAGAACATAAAAGAAGACCCCCTTAGACTCTATAGGGTTAAAAGTAGTCCATCTATCCTCAAATTTCCAATTTTTAAATACAGTTTTAACAAATTTTTTATTTTTATTTTTTTCGTTTCAGAAAGAAATAGAAAATCTGAGAGATGAGTCCTTAAGGACTCTTTCACACCGAAACTTTCATTAATTACCCTGGGTTACTTTTCAATTTTTTATGAACCTGACTATCCTGAATAGGCTTCTTATTGTTGTTTTCACAACACTGAAAGGACCTTTTGTAGTCCTCCTTACCAAATTGATTTTAGGAATCTATCCTACTCTCATTCTCAACATAGCTCAATTTACCTCCTTTTGGATTACTCCTCACCTTTCTAGTGAATGATTTTTTCTTTCTTTAGGGAACTTTGTCGCCTGTTGTGTACGAATTGTTATTTTTACCGAGTACCGAATCGAAAGATTTTTTCCCCGGGTCGATCTCACGAGGAAGGCTGTTCGAAATTCAGCTTTGGTATCGATCACACATAAAAAGAAAATAAAACCTAAACACTCTAATCAAATAGGGGGAAAAATTACCAACTAAGAAATAATATAAAAACAAATAATCTACCTAAAATATAAACGAAATAAAGATGGAAAAGCTAGGGAATCGGGGATAATTAATCCAAGTTCTAGCAAAGTCGGGCTATCAATTGCTCTATTCTAGATTGACACTCTCGCTTAAACATCTAGCAGTTCGCTCTCAATAACTCTTCGTAACAAGGGATTGAACATAGACGAGCAAGCTCGAGCATACAATACATGCCACTTATCCCAATCCCAATAACTTTTCGTAACAAGGGACGGGTCATCGACAAGCACGTATTTCAATCCAAAACCTATAGACTATTCATTTACGAAATCATCTACCTCATGTGAGCCTAGGTCTACGACTTATCCCCTTTCGGTTCTAACAGTCGCTAATTCATTTAGAAGGTGTTTAATCAACTAATCATTCAGAATCATCAAGCCCCGACTCGACAAATTAACATTCAATTGTCACCAATTGCAAGACCGAAGTGTCACTCTTCGATTATATCAATCAATCGAACAAGAATTCAACAATTCTGAATTAAATCAACTCACACAAGAATGAACAAATCAAGCCCGACAAATACACGTTAAACAAGAACAATCATTCCCTATCCCTAGCAATCGAATTTAGCTACGCATAATGAATTCAACACAAAGCACCATATCAACATATATCATCAATCCCATAGATTAAACTACAATTAATGCTTACAATTAATATAGAAGCCAAGGTCAAATCCAAAGCACAGCAAACCCAAAAACAAGAAACAAACCTTGAAGTGTCA